TGAGAAAAAATGGGGTTGGTTTCATAATTAAAAAAGTCATTTCTAGATCCATCCTGAAATACAATGTGGTGAGCGACAGGACAATATCCATACGCATACAAAGAAATCCAGTGAACACCACTATCATTCAAATATATGCACCAACAACTAGAGCCAAAGAGGAGGAAATGGAAGACTTCTACCAACTTTTGCAGTCAGAAATTGATCAAACATGCAATCAAGATGCATTGATAATAATGGGTGACTGGAATGCAAAAGTTGGGAACAGGAAAGAAGGATCAGCTGGAAACATGGCCTTGGTGAGAGAAATGAGGCTGGAGATAGAATGATAGAGTTCTGCACATTCAATGATTTATTCATTGCAAATACCTTCTATAAGAAACATAAACACAGGCTATACACATGGATTTCACCTGATGGTATGCATAGGAATCAAATAGAAATTTTGCAAAGTATCCAACTGCATTTCTCATGGTCTACTTAGGATTTAGAGAGCTGATGTAAAACAGCAATTGAGACATTTAAATGAGAATCACTTTTATCTTAAAACTGTCTCTTAGTTTTATGTGGTTAGGTGCTGTCCAGAAGACTCTTACTCAGAGTGACTAATATGACAGAGCAAAACACTGTCCAGCTCTGAGCCACCCTTAAAGTCATTGCTGTGTTTTAGTGCATTGTTGAAGTTATTGTGTCAACCTACCTCTTTAAGGGTCTTTTTTTCCCCCCTTTACCAAACATGATGACCGCCTTTTCCTGATAACATGCTCATAGTCTCCTCATCATTGATTCTAAGGCGCATTCCAACTGCAGGGGATTCTCCACTAACAAAACAATCCAAACACTTCGGTTCTTCAGTCTTTAGGTTGACAGCTCCCTGCATATGTGTATAGACATTTTTTCTCTACTTTCCAAATATGATACTACCAATGTGAAGACAGAAGAACCTTGGAGTGTGCAGAGAAAAAGTGAAAAATTTTTTCGCTTCTTTTGAATCCTACCTTCCTCTTCTCTTTCTTCCTGGTTTGGGACTCCTCTGAAGCAAATTTGACATGTTTTAAAGTGAAGAAGAGGGTGGCTCTAGCTAATTCACATTACTGTATGCTGCGGAGTCAAAACTGACTCTGTGGTGGGTTTTCAGAGGCCGTTAATCACACTGCAGGAGAATGTCCAACTTTCTCCTGTGGAGCAGCTGGTGGATTCGAACTGTGTGTCTTTGGAATTGCAGCACAGCTTCTTACTACTAGGCCATGAGAGCTCTCAACATTCATATTGGCTTTTACTTTATTCATATCATGTTGGGTTTTACTTTATTTTTTTAACTCCCTGCAGGTTGTCAACACCATGATAAAACACTATTACAAAAAAGTTATAAAAACAAATCTCATACAGTTTTGTCATATTAAACCAAACCCATTGTCTTGACCTTATTAGGACTGCAGAGGCCCGGCAGTTTCTCCTCAATAAACTGTCTTTCTTGGCCTGCACTGGGTTCTGTCCTTCCTTGGCGAACTTACAGACCTGTGTTCCAACTATAGTGCAGTGATGAATTGTCCCATTACATTTGCAAGGCTGTAATCTTTACAGAAGCAAACTGCTATGTAATTTTACATCACTTAAATATTACAGTGTTGATAACATATGCAAGCAAGATTCTGCTGAGGATTAACCAAAAATGACTGGAACAGAGAACATCAACAGAGAACTACCAGAAGTCCAGGCTGGGTTTAGAAGGGGTCGTAGTACAGGGATATTGTAGCTAATGTTAGATGGGTCTTAGCTGAAAGCAGTGAATACCAGGGAATGTCTTTCTGTGTTTCATTGATTATGTGTGGATCATAACAAACTGTGGCTGACTCTGAGAAGAATGGGAGTCCCAGAACACTTGATCATGCTAATGCAAAACCTATACTTGGACCAGGAGGCAGTCTTCAGAACAGAGCAAGGAAACACTGCATAGTTCAAAATTGGGAAGGGTATATGCCAGGGATGTGTCCTGTCTCCATACTTTTTCAACCTAAATGCAGAGCAGATTATCTGGGAGGCTGGGCT